GTTCCCCATGGTTTCTACAGGAACTCATGACCCACTCATGGATTTTAACAATTTTGCAAGAGGAATATACTTGGGTTTGGCAACAGCCTCCAGTATATTTATTAGAAAATTGAAATATCTGTACCTAACACAATTACATCAATACAAATATGCCATGATTCTATAGATAATTCCTCAACTTTGTTTCCAGATTTTTCAGAAGCTATGTTTGGGCAGGAGACGGTATCTAGCCACCTTCTAGTACCTCCTGCATGTAAGGCAGTCTTTGTTCTAGAGCAGGGGTCAGCAAGGTTTTTGGGCAGTGCCACAAACACCTGTAACCTCAAATTGTAATATGATGGCATGCCAGGGGCAGACAGCGGAGGAGCCATGAGGGGCCTCATCCTTGCTGTGGAAGGACATCTCCAGCCCCTTCCCTCCTGTCCAACCTGAGGCACAGGTCCCAAGCAAAATGTCTTTGCATGCCATGCTCTGGCACCCATGCCAGGGGTTGCCTACCCCTGTTCTAGAGTGAAGCAAATAGATGGTTGGTTAAAAGAAAAACATGGCTTTTTCTAAGCCCTCTTAATCCTCAAACTGTTTGGCTTATTTTACCTCTCTACGTGCAGCTATTTTTATTGGAAGAGATGAGAGAGCGGAAGTATGATGGATATGCTCGGGCAATCCAGAAGGCCTGGCGGAAATATGCAGCCAAGAAAAAATATGTACAAATGAGAGAAGAAGGTAGGTAATGCTGTGAGAACTAAATGATTTTTTCAAAGACAGAAATAAAACAAAAAGAACAAGGGAAATGCCTCCCATCTGCGGTGCAAGCAGTTGCACTGCAGTACAAGCTTTGACTTAAGAAGAAGCGCATTCTGCTAGCCAGTTGAAGGGCTGGGAGATAAATGTTAACTAGCATTTTGAAGGGAAGTGGGAAAAGCAGCTTCCCATGAGTTAAACCTGGGTAGCCTGGGGCTAGTACAAATTCAATGTTACAGCTGTCATGCTTAATTGCCTTCTAGGGAAATGACACACTCTTAAGTCTGAATGCTTATTACAGGACAAACCTCTTATGGCAGCAAAGGACTTTGAATAGTACTCAGTTGTTGGCATTGTTATCGTGTATTCCAGGGGAAAGTATTGCTAGACACAACAGTTGCACGCTTTTTTAGAGCTGTTTTGTCAGAAGGAGTCCCAAATCATGTGTTTGAATGTGTTCATGCCTTTAATGGCTTCTTTGGTCTCGACTACTGCAACACTTAAGGGATTGGATTCATAATTGGACTATTAACCATTGTGTTAAATTAGAAATCCCCCCTCTCCCCCACTTAAAACACCACTGGTTTCAAACATATCTATTGTCCTCATTAATCAGAGTTCAGATTTATCCCAGAGTTTCCCCAATTCTGGAAGTGCTTTCAGTTCATTTCCATTAGACAGTCATCAGTATGTTTTAATAGGCCTGACTGAAAGTGCATCCCAGCCGGTAGAAAGGATTAGCAGGGAAACTCATGTTTTTGCCCCCTTCTTTCAGACAAATATATTTGTTTGGATTTCCTCCTAATTTGAAACTTAATATAAAGTCCTTTTAGCTCTTTCTTTAGTAAATACCACCAGCTAATGACTACTTTGGGTATTCAAGCCTCAGATCTGTTGCTGAACAAGAAAGAAAGAAGGCGAAACAGCATTAACAGGAACTTCATTGGGGACTACATAGGCATGGAAGAGCATCCAGAGCTACGCCAGTTTGTGGGCAAGAGAGAAAAGATTGATTTTGCTGATACTGTCACAAAATATGACAGACGATTTAAGGTATGATTAGGGAAAAACCCAGTGATCATGAGTCCAGCCATGGCTTTTTGGAGTTACCCTTTAATGGAACATCCAGTGTGCTTAGAAAACATCAGCCCCTTATCATAACTAAGGTATAGAGCAGTGCCTTACAACCTGGGATTGCAGGTTCAGAGGGACAGTTTTCCTCTGGATCAATGAATGCATGTGGTATCTGATACAGGAGACCATCATATTTTTCAGACATGATGTTTATGTTATATTAATGTGTATATGGGGAGTCAAGTGTGGAGAGAGACAAGAAAGGATAAACTAGGACTTGAAAAATGGAAGGTTACCTAAGCAATAGTTATTTTGACACTATATCTGCTATGATCCATGCAATGCCATTTTCAAGCTTACTGTCCCAAGACCAGAGGTGTGTGGCAGCTGCTGGGTGGAGAGGAGCAAAGTCAACACATAGGGAACTAAATATTAATGTTATGCACTTCAAGGTGAATATCATATATCCCCCCATTCTCCCTCACTAACATCAACCTCTCCTCCAATAAATCCAGTACAGGTAACCCCCACTTAGTGCTCTTAATTGGTTCCAGAAAAAATGAGTGTTAAGTGGAACCGCACTAAGCAAAATCCATTTGCCCATAGTAATGAATGGTAAATATTGGCCGCCTCTACATCTCCCCACTAGCCCGCTGGCCACTCCAGTCTCACGTGCCAACCTGGGCCTGCACTCCTGCTGCCCAGCCCTGGTCCCCTGCCGGCCCTGGCCCTGGGCGCTGATGCAGACCCTGCGTTGACGCCTGTCCCCATCACTCACCGCGTCTCACCACTGCCGCCTCTCCCCCCCCCCCCCCCC